TATAAATCAATGGTGCGACCTCATTTGGAATACTGTGTACAGTTCTGGTCACCACACCTCGAAAAGGATATTATAGCATTGGGAAAAGAGCAGAAAAGAGCAACTAGAATGACAAAAGAGTCGAAACACTTTCCTACGAAGAAAGGTTAAAGCGCTTAGGGCTCTTTAGCTTGGAGAAACGACAGCTGAGGGGTGACATGATCGAGGTTTATAAGATCATGCATAAGATAGAACAGGTAGATAAAGAGGTACTTTTCTCCCTTTTTCACAATACAAGAACTCGTGGGCTCTCCATGAAATTGCTGAGCGGTTGGGTTTGAACAGATAAAAAGAAGTACTACTTCACCCAAAGAGTGATTAACACATGGAATTCACTTCCACAGGAGGTGGCAGCGGCTACAAGCATGGATGGCTTCAAGAGGAAATTAGATAAGCATATGGAGCAGAGGTCCATCGGTGGCTATTAGCCACAAGTTATAGATAGGGACTCCGGGGCAAGTGATGCTCTGTATTCTTGGTGCTTGGGGGGGGGGGAACAGTGGGAGGGCTTCTAGTGTCTTGGCCCCACTGCTGGACCTCCTGATGGTACCTGGTATTTTTGGCCACTGTGTGATAGAGTGTTGGACTGGATGGGCCATTGGCCTGATCCAATATTGGCTTCTCTTATGTTCTTATCATGTAAACAAGAAAAAAATGCATGTGCCCAAATTTAAACACCAAAAATCAATGATTTAATAAATATATAGATATGACATATATAGTACTCAGAACAAATTTTCCTATGACACAGTAAATGGACACATAGAAATTCACAGGTAAAGTTAATCACAGGTAGAAATTCACAGGTAGAGTTTTTCCAAAAACAATTTGTAATAATAAATTCAAAAAAGTCCTTGAACTGTAAGGATGTGGCAGTGCCTCTGCCAACTGACTCGATGAAACCCCGGTTATAAATCCATTTCAATAATTTTTTCAAGAATCATGCTGGATTCAACATTTCAAAGATACATGTAGACATCCACAAAGTATATTCAGATACAGCAATCCTCAGTGATTCCCAATGGAGAATCAATCATTTCTTGGAACCTCCCTTCAAAATTCTGAAGCATTTCACCACTATGCCATTTCCCTCTAATGAAAAAATTTTCTGCATCTCCATGAGACGTTTCTCCCAAGAGCCAAACAAAAAGTCTTCCTATGGCTATTTAACACATGCAGAGAGGCCACTTGTCAATTTATTCTGAGAAGAAGCACAGTGGAGAAACAGAGGCAAGCATTTCCTCCCAATTAAGTAAGTGGGCTTTATATAATGTGAGCAGAATCATGCAAGAAGGAAGCTTACCTATTAGGAAGATGATTAGTAGCCTGGCAACTCCAAACAGCGGAATCATTTCACGGAAGTTCTGTAAAGATCAGAGGCATAAATGAGCTCTCAAATTCCACAAGTTATGAACTTTCTCAGCACTGCTCCAGATGTTATCTTGCACCCAAATCCGTCTTATGTAAGCTCAGGAAAGAAATTTTTATGTCACCTTGCAAACCAGTATTAGAGTTGGGGGGTGGGGGATGTCAAATTCAATACATTATTTCCACATAGTAAGGAGGGTCACCATAGAATTTTGAATCCAGGAATTGTTCTGCCTTGTTTGTGATATTTTTCTCAACACTGCCACTTTGCAAATAAATTACCAGAGGAGACCATCTCAAACTGCCTCCAAATTTCTTGGGGGCTTAGCCCTTTTTAGAAGCCTGAATAGCCCCGGCTAGCCCAATCTTGTCAGAACTTGGCAGCTAAGCAGAATTGGCTGTGGTTAGTACTTGGATGGGAGACCCACCAGGGTTGCTGTGAAGAGGAGGAAGGCAATGGTGAACCCCCTGTGTTAATCTTTTGCTTTGAAGCCTCCTGGTCCTGGGGTCACCATGAGTCAGTTGAATATTGATATTATTAAGTCCCCTTTTCCTTACCACTAGAACATTCATGAAGTATCCTCCAATAAGAGCATAAACTCCTCCCGATGCTCCTACTAGGCCGTGAAGTGGATCACAGACTGAGCTTGCCAAGGAACCTGGAATGGGGGGGGGAGGGAGAGGGAGAGAGAAGGGTTATAGTATAGACAGTGCTGCCTCCTAGCACTTGGCATAAGTGAAGAGTTTCTATGACTAACCAGGTAATGATATCACTGGGTTTAGGCTGGGGTAACAATCCCTAGCACCACACTTGCAGTAGCAAGAACAAACAAATATAGGTAACAATAATGGAAGTGAAAAATATCCTGCAAGGAGCCACCCCTTATAGTCCTAATGTGTTATATAATATGCCTCAGTTCAAGCACGAACACTCAGTCTGGACATTTCAACTGGTCTTAGCAGACCCTCCATTTTCTATCACTTTTCTCAAATCCTTACTGCAGTGCCTACCTGCAATCACTCCAGCCATGTACACCAGGCCAACTCTGTGCCCTTTGTGAACCAATTCAAGGGGGATTCCCAAAAAAAGCTGAAGGAAAAGATTTCCTAAGATATGCTGAATGCTGCCAAGAGAAAAGAAGACAAAATGTACAAGGATGAACTAGCAAATGATTTCTCCAGAGCATTTATGTCTGCCTTCACTAGATGGAGAACCATAATCAGCACTCAGAATTCCTGTTTCCAACCTTTACACTTCAGCAGTCTCTGCATATTTAATGTTAAGTATGGTTATTACAGCCTGACCTGGATGGCCCAGGCTAGCTGCATTTCTTCAGATCTCATAAGCTAAGCAGGGTCAGCTGTGGTTAGTAGTTGGGAAACCACCAAGGAAGTCCAAGCTAGGCAGAGGCAGGCAACAGCAAACCAGCTCTGAACATCTCTTGCCTTGAAAACCCTACAGGGTTGCTGTCTGTCCACTGAAACATGACAGCATTTTCCACTACCCCATAGTTATTCTTCCCCTCTTCCTGCTCTCTGACCTGAGGCCCAGACAGAATCTAAAGTGAGTTCTCCAGCAGAGCAGAAGATGTGAAGAACCTGCCACTCTTTCAACTGTGCATTAAAGACTAACACTTTTTATTCCAGCACGAAACAGAGCTCATTTCTTCAGATGTTTATTGGAAGGAAATGCATGACCTATCCTATTCAAAGTGACAGATAAAGGATCATTTATTAACCTTAATGGATCTGGGTTGCACACTTTAAAACAGAACATCACAAATCAAAGTTATGGTCTGTCACCTTCAAGACAGAAACAGTTTCTTCAGTGCATGATACCATCTTATCTGCAGTAGATTGCTCCATGATAGTTATTTATTTATTTGAAAAAAGGCACCCAAAATGACTGCCAGCAACTTCAACGTAAGTGCAATTTGTGACTCACCCAGCATGCACAAGCATGTAAGACAAGAATCTCCAAGCTTCTTGCCTCTTGTCGGGCCTGTATGTAAAAGGACTGTCCCAGATGCTGGAATCTAGAGTCATCCACTGTTCCTGGGGCTTCCAAACAGCATAATAGATGAAGGTAGTCAACTAGACACAAAAAAGTCACAGTCAGGTATATGGTGGTGGTTGTTTTTTTACACCCCAGGATAGGATAGGACATCACAATAATTTGGAAAGAGCAAAAGCATCTGTTAACTCTGAAGTTAGCATCAATAAATTCATCAATGGTACAAGACACTGTATTCAGTATAGGAAATCAAGCCTGGAATCTCCCTTGAAGTTAATGTGACTAAACTGAGGCTGTGGTACTTTGGCCACATGATGGGAGGACAAGACTTGCTGGAAAAATCAATAATGCGAGGAGAGGCTGAAGGCAGCAGGAAGAGAGGAAAGACCCAACAATTAGTGGATTGTCTCAATAAAGGAAGTCACAGCCCACAGTCTGCAAGACCAGAGCAAGGTTTTGGAGGTCATCAATAAATGGAGTTGCCATAAGTTGGACGTGTCTTGAGATGGCACTTAACACACAAACACACTCAAATGGTATTCACTGAACACATTTCTATCAAGTGTTATAAACTGCAACGGCAAATAAATACGATCTATAAGCAAAAGATTTATTTTGCTCTGGTGATATGGAAATCTGAAGACTTAGAAGAGGGTTCTAGTATGGATAACAAGACCCTAATTATTATGTTATCATTGAAAGCAGTGGTTCCCAAACTTTGGGATATGTTGACCGACAAGTCCAAATTTATTTGGTATGGGTAACCCAATGATTTATTGTCACATGACTTTTTTGCAATGGATACTTCAAGAATCCAAACAAAATTTAATTAACACCCCTATTAATGTGGTATTTGTTCAAATATTTATTGCACATAAATTGTTCACAGTTCTGAGCAAATGCTGACAAAAGGCAAGTGTTCAGAAAGAGTTTTGCATTTCATATATATTCATTATCAGCCGCTTGTGTGGTAAAGGTATTATGTTGGCAGAAACTTGGACACATCTCTGGACTTCCTTGGTGGTCTCCCATCAAAATACTGACCAGGACCAACCCTGCTTAGCTTTTGAGATGTAACAAGATGAAGCTAGCCAGGGCCAGAGGTTCTATTTAATAATTGTGATTAATGCCAGATTACTGTGGTCTGCTTGTACAAGGTAAAATACTCAGCACAGGAATGTTTTAAGGTAAAAGAACTACTCCTTGCTATGTGTACCTTCACAATCTCTCCTTATGCGTTTATTCTTGGTGTAATTTTTTTAAAATCGAATTCTAAACAGCCAAAGAATGAACAGGTCCGGTAGTATTCAAGGCTTAACAAGATCCTTTTGCTGTTTTCCCCCTCCCAGAGGTCCAGAGATGCTATATAGAGGCAGGCAATGACAAAGCGTGATCTGGCCTTCTTGGGAGCTGGAGCTGGTGAGAATCTGTCCTTATATATAATTGAATAGTGGGTGCCAAAGTTCTAATTCTAAAATGGACTCCCTTAGTGTATGGCTGATGGCACTGCTCCTCAGCATATATCGCCACCAATCAGAAGGCAAAGCCCGGGTCCCGCCCACACCACAACTGCTGCGACAACCTGGTCTTTTGCATATGGAAGCTGATTGGACTTCACTCCATTCCACACCTCAAACTCTCCCCCCCCCCGCAAGGCAGTTGGAATGTCAGTTGCATATGGAATCTGCTGTATTCTGGTGGTGTGCAGGTCCCAGATTCATGTTTTAAAAGCAGACTGACACTGTTTGCCCAAAGCCAGAGCACTCTCCCAGCGCCTCTTTCTAGATCCCGTTGTATTTATTTCCACAACGGGCCTTATTTCTAGTGTTGCCATAAGTCAGGTACAACTTGACAACACTTTACCGTCACCACTGCCTACATTCAGAGGCAGTGGTAGCCCCCCTGAACACTGGTGGTGGGAAGGGCCAGGCTTCCAGGCCCTGTGGCTTCAGGGGTTCTCTGGTTATCCCCTGGGTGAAAAGATGCTGTACTAGATGGACTGCTGGTCCAATCCAGCAGAGCTCCTGTTCTCTAATTGCCCCTGCATGTAGAAAAGGAAACAAGAATCCCTACACTCTGAAATGAGAACATCAGGGAGAAGGTTCTTCTCCTTAACGTGGCAGATTTCCTGGCAGTCTAACATGGTTAGAGCCTTCAGTCCTATAATCGGCAATGTGGATTCTGAATTGCTGCAACCCCATAATCTAATTTTTATTTTTTTATTTTACAAAATTCTGTATCTTGCTTTTCTACCCTCGCAAGGGCTACCAAAGGCAGCTAACAAACTAAAACATACATCAAAAGATCACATTTTAAAACTAACCCCGTCCAAAAAACCCCACGCATCACCAAAACAATTAAAAACAGAGCTAAAATAAATACAAAGTTAAAAAATATTAATTTTTTACACATCCTGACACACAACACCCTGAATACCAACACATTCCATCATATTCAGAAACCTTTCTAAAAGTAAATATGCAGTCATTTAGAGAATTAGAAATAAGAAAAAAATGTTTTAAATGTTTCCCTTACTTCAGCGACACTGATTGCGAGGATGAAAATGGGCGGTGGAATGCAGTTGGCTCTTTCAAGGTATGTCCCTCTGGTATCTTCCGGAAGCATCCATTTGGAAATGGTTTCATGGAAGCTGTCACAGCTGATGCAAACACAACAGCTTCTTGCATCGTCTCTCTTCTCTTCCTCCGGTGCTTCAGAGGCCCCCTCAGGGTTCATCCTCTCAAGCTCCATATTTGAGGGAAGTTAGAAGTCCATATTTGAAAGAAGTTAGCCTGCTTCTGACACACAAAGACACGAACAGCAAATTTGTCCTGGAATCAAGACCACTGCCTTTTCCTCCCATCCATGCACTGTCCCAATATGTAGGCATTCAGGAGGGGAATCCACCAATGCTCCCTTCTAAGCTGTGGAGTCTTGTGAGCAAAAATTCTACTTTGTGAGCTACTGGCATTAAGTGATTAGTTGAGTGATTTGGCTACTTCATAAATTAGTTTGCTCTGGAGCCATCCTTCCTGAGCTAAGACAAAAGTGTGTGAGCCAAAAGCCAAAAAAACTGAGCTAGGTCACACTAACTCACCTTAGATGGAACACTGGTCTCCACCTTTTTTGTGCCTGTGGCCACCTTTGGAACTCTGACAAAGGGCAGTGGGCACAATCACAAAATGGCTGCCACAGCAGGCGGAAAGAACGACAAAATAATAGAGATTGAAGTTATATCCAGCTGTAACAACAAGTGCAACATTTCAGACAGAAGCTCTGTTTAACAAGACTCCTTTTAATCTGCACAGCCAATCAGAAGCCCTACTGGGGAGAAGCCCTACCTAGCCCTGCCCACTTTCTGAAAGCACTTGGCAAGTGGCCAGGAAAGGTGTCGGCAGGCACCATGGTACTAGGGTTGCCAGTTCTTGGTTCCAAAACACCTGGAGATTTGAGGAAGCAGCCTGGGAGAATGGAATTTAAGGGGGGGAGGGGGGAGCGTTGGGTACAATGCCATACAGTCTACCTTTCGTAGCTGAAATGCACTCTGTCCAGGCGAAGTGCACTCTATAGACAATAACCCCCTGGCCCAAAAAACATTAGTCTAGCCTCAACCCAGGCCAGAGCCTTTCCAGCTCTGGCCTCATTCTGGTGGAATGCTCTTCCAGATGATATCCGGGCCCTGCAGAATTTGATGCAGTTCTGCAGGGCCTGTAAGACAGAAATGTTCCACCAGGCCCACAACTGAGGCAGCCAAGCCTTCCATCTGACTTGGCCTCCCCCAGCCCCAGCCCCCTCCTTTCATCTGCTCATCATACCAGTTCCATCAACACAGCTTCTGTACCACCTCCTGCTGGATAATTTATGCTATTTTGTGCCACATACTGCCATCTGATTGTATTCTAATTTATTACTTTGATGACTGTTTTTAACAACTAATCTATGGTATTGTTTCAATTTTGTTGTCACCTACCCTGAGCCTTGTTACACAGGGGAGGGTGGGCTAGAAGTCCATTAAAATAAAAAAATAAAAAAATAAATGTTTTATTTATTTATTTATTTGCATTTTAACTCCGCCCTCCCCACGAACGAGCTCAGGGCGGCTCACACGGGCATAAGCCCATACATAAAACCAGAGATCGATTGGGGGAATCGTGGGGGATCGCCGTTCCCCCAAGTGAGGTGCGGGGGGGGCGGAGCCAGGGCCGGCCGGAGGTTGTCCTGCGCTCTAGGCGAGCGCAGATGCTAACCTCCCAGCGGGGCCTGGAGACGCGCTCTGGGCGTCCTTTCCGCATGGAGCGGTGTGTGTGTGTGTGGGGGGGGTCTGGGTCTGCGCGTCCCCGGCACGCCCCTCCACCTCCTCCCCCCTGTCGCAGTTGGGCAGAAGAGGCTGAGAAAGGTGGCGGCTGGGCCGGAGCTCCGTCTCCAGCAGCCCCGCCAGTGCCACCCGCACCTCCCACCACAGTTGCCCGTAGGTGCTGCCGCCGCCAGGGAGAGAGGAGAAAGAAAAGAAGGAAAAGAAAGGCCCGCTGTCAGGGGAGGTGCCTTCCTCCCGAGCTGGCCCTGCCTGTCGCGCTGTCCGATTCCCCATGCATTCGAAATAAATCCACGTTTGAAGAACAAAGTTAAATTTATTATAAAGCGATGTTTAGATCAGGAACACAAGGATTGTTAGGAATGACTACAGACCTCATAGGGAAACATAATAAAGGAACTTGAACCAGGTTAGGACCAATGAGTCCAATTCCCGCTGGCGGGAATGCAGATAAAACTAGCGCCCAATTCCTTGGGAACACAACGGTTCTACACAGAGGTCATTTCGGGGGGGAACGCGGGGGATCGCAGTTCCCCCGGGTGAGGTGCAGGGGGCGGGGCACACGACGAAGCCCCGCCCCCTTCTTCCGGCAGCCCCCTGCTTCCAACCTCATTCTGTTGCAGAAGGAGGAAGAAGCAGG